AATATCCTTAGACTCTAACTCCTCTCTCTAGAAGTGAGAACACAGAGAAGCAGAGAGGAATAAAGTGACTTCTTCTATCATTAGTGTCCACGCCAGGACTATATTCAGTTGTTGGCATTCCTAGTCCCGTGTTTTTTGTTTGTTTGTTTGTTTGTTTATTTTTATAGGCATCACACTATTTTAGTTTGTCCAGAACGTAAACACCAACACAGTAAGGTCCTGTTGATCTGCAAGGAGCAATTGCATATCAGGGGAAGTCGGTGAACAAAAGCTTACCTCTGTAGTAAATGAGAATATTTCAAATATCACCCTTTGAATTCTGTGTTGACAAAAGAAAATTACAAATCCCCTGCCTTTGTCATTAGATTGTGCAGACTGTCATTCGCAATGACATTCACATAGGACCACCATTATGAAATATGCTAGTCATAGTGAGCTCTGACGGTGACGTCAGCAGAGCCTAGAGAAGCAGCTATGCATGGCTGTTTGTCCTTATACTAAGTGAGCACAGGCTTCTGTGATTTTGTAGCTCTTGTATCTTTTCTCCATCCCTTTTTGGACTGCCTTGTTGATTCTTGCTACTTTAATGAACCTCGTTCAGTTTTTCTTTATCCCCTATGAGCTAGGAATCATATAAACGATATAGGGAAACAATATAGCATGATATAAAGAATACGTGTCTCAATTTGGTGCTATCACTTAATGTCTTGTCTCCTTGGGAGAGTTACCTGATATTTCTAAGCCTCAGTTTCCTCATCTATATAATGGGGTGCTTTCTGGATTTTCCCCAAAGGTTTGTGGATATGAAATGAGGCAATCTTTGTAAAGCACACATGGCTTTCTCAAGAAATGGTAGTGAAATACATGCTATTTTGAGGTTAATTTTGACAGGATTTCTGGCCTATTTAGTCTGAATGTGAGGACCTTACATGTGCAGTGAGATTCAGCAGGCTTTAGGAAATTGTTTTAACCTGTCAGACATAGCATTTTAAATGCTTTGCTTGCTCTCCTGAGTATGTAATAAAACAAAAAAAAAAATGTCCAATCTGGCTAAATTATGGGTTTCTGCAGTGTGCAGGCTCAGCTTTCCCTCCCCATTCCAGGCGTAAGAACTTGGTGATTCTTCAGGCTGCAGCTGTTTGCTTTGGTTGCCTGATGCTATACAATGCTTATAACAAGGAACGCTGTCTGGGAGGTACTCAGTCACATCCTTCGAAGACCTCGGTGAATTCAAATAATGGAAATTCTTACCATCCTTTTGACTTCTCTCCCTCCTCGGAAACTTTAATCGTGATTTTTCTTTAATGAGATTTATCCATGGTGACTGTAAAATGTAATTGAATTCTTATCAGAGTTCAGTTAAGATTTATTCAGAGACCCTTGTTCAATATTGATTTCAGAGGTCAACCCAGGCCTCAAGCCCCTCATGGATATGTTAGCATTTTAATTTCTTCTGAACTTTCATAAGTCTAATAAGTTGCCACATTAGAAATGTGGGACTGCGAAAGTTGTGTGCATGTATCCCTCTTGGAACCAAAGCCCTTAGAACAAACACCTGCAATGGCATTCAAATTGCCTCTCATTCAAACTAATGTCTGAAATAAAGACATCCTGTACAAAACAGAGAGAGCCAGGCCCTAGGCCTCAGTCAGTGTTTTGTTTTAATTGTTTTAAATTGATAGCGTCAGAACATTGAAGATAGTAGTTTATTCATTTCTCTGTAAAGACCACCCATGTTTGATGCTCTTGAGTCTATGGGAGAGACCAGTGTAATGTAAACTTAATTTATTCTTGCCTGAATTCATCAACTTTAAATCATATTTAAGTTAAACATTTATATAATTTTGAGGGAAACTTTGTTTTAATGATTATTCATCTTTTCCTATATTCTCTTAAATCCTTAATCCTTGCACATACATACATATAATGAAACAAGCTAGACTCTGTACAGCATTGTAATTCTCTTTAATCATTCTGTACATGCTTTGTTTTGTATTTCCTATTGATTGACTTCATATAAATATACACATAGCTTCCTATGACTAATAATAATTATCTTTAACTTTTTATCTGTTTAGTTTTATATGTTTACACACTAAATTTTCAAGCCATTTGCCACTAGAATGATACTGGATACTTTCTAATCTCTTTATATTATTAATAGCATGCCTATAAATAAAATTTTATATTATTTTATTTTTAATAACTTTCTTAATTTATATTATTTAGTTTTTGGCAATTTGGAGAACATTTGCTAGATTTCTTCAGAAATATTTTTCAGTTTACAGAACCATCATAGTAATGAGACTGCATTTTAAACTATAATCTATTCACTATTGAAAATTTGTATTTATATTTATTTAGAATCAGTTTATTGAGTGCATTATTTTAATTTTAATTTGTAGAATTATTAGCAAAACCAATGAGATGCTTTTCTACTTTGGTGATAGATCTCTTAAAATCTTAGCTTTGATTATTCTTATGGATTAAATTTAAGAAAGCTAAGTTTCCTTGGGAAGCAAATTGATAAAGATAGAATATATTGGTTCTAGTTCTTGCTCTCCTGGTGTGTCATTTAATTTCTGAGTACCAGTATTTACATTTATTAAAGGGAAATACTAACTTCTTTCCTGTCTTCAAAGAGAAGAAATGAGCAGGTTTATTTTGTACATCATGAAATTGTTTACTAATATAAGGGTTTGATTTGATTAACAGCATTATTGTCATTGCTTTTTCCCTCTGCAAATTTGATACAATTTAGAAACTCTCTAACTTTGGGTTAATTTCATAGCTGCAGTTTCTGTGGAAGTACCAAAATAAATAGATGCTATAGAAGGAATATGAAGACATATATGAGAAGGACAAAGATTTTCATGCTTTGCTTAAGAATATTTTTAGGTTGTTATAAGTCTGAAGAGTAGCAACAGAGCCTCCTACTTGTGTGCCCTTCTGCCCTGAAGGAGACAGGTTTACCCATAAGTGTAGATTTACAAACAGTTTCTGTATTCTTAGCATAGCCAAGGAGTCTGCGCCTACAAACAGTACATCAGAGATTCTCAGCAAGCCTGTTTATGAAATGGCAGCCAAGGTCTTCCCCTCACCCAGGGCTCTTCCTCAGAGTGGAGCGAACCCAGCTCCTAGATCTCCAGCAGTGGAAGTTGTGTAGACATTTTTATTAGAGTCAAGATCCAAGTGATTAAAAGGCCTCAAGAAGTAGGAGGCCAACTCCACAGGAGACTAAACACTTAGAGTTTCCTGAATTTGGCACATTAGTGGCCAACACTTTAGTGGCCTTTTGCTTCCTTATGTCACTCAATGGCTACAATTAAAGTATTCGATCTTTTCAACCTACATTAAGAGGTAGGTTTTCTACCTCTTCTGGAAAGTTGTTTTTTTTTTTTATGCTTAGTTTTTTTCTAATAAAATGTTTTAAAGGCAGTTATGGCTAGGGCTTTATGTGGGTGTTGGCAAATGAACTGAAAGTTCGGACTAAAATCTGAAAAATCCACATGAACTTTCCTCCTTCTCTTTTCTTGATTGCCCACCTCTGCCCACTCATCTCCAAGGAGTCTCTGTCTCTCCTTTCACACCACACACACATGCACATGCACACATTCTATATAATAAAAACCTAGTATGCTAAGCGTCCAGTTGTCCAGTTAGCCATTCAACCAATCAAAGTGTATTATGCTAATGGTATGCTAAGGCCACTCAGCTGCTCGCTATGATGTGCACTGACCACCAATGGGCAGATAGTCAACTGGTCGGCCAGTCGCTATGATGTGCACTGACCACCAAGGGGCAGACGCTCAATGCAGGAGCTGCTCCCTGGTGGTCAGTGCACTCCCACAGAGGGAGCATCGCTCAGCCAGAAGCTGGGGCTCAGGGCTGGTGAGCGCAGCTGTGGTGGCGGGGAGCCTCTCCCGCCTTCAAGGCAGCACTAAGGATGTCCGATTGACGGCTTAGCCCACTCCCCACAGGATGCCATCAGTCAGACACCCCCCAAGTTCAGGAATTTTGTGCACTGGGCCTCTAGTACCAATATAAAGGCATTTTCTTTTGGTATCT